GGGAAAGAGATCAAGACAAGCCTCAAATTTTTACCCTGTGATGGTAACATGAGAGCAGATTTCTGCTCTGATCTGTCAGGCCATCTCCCAGGACAGCCAGAACTTACAGACAGCTGTTTTGGAAACTCACCCCGTCATCTGTATCCATCATGCTGGCACCAAACCATAGATCCCCAAAGGACTGACCAGCAAATCACTCATCACCTCAAAATTTTGTCTGTTAGGTCTAACTCTCAACAATACATTTCAACTTCTGTGTTTTCAAGCCATTGCTCCTGTGTCTCACCAAACACAAACATAAAGGTTCTTAGGTTGTTTCAACCTTTTAGGTGGCAACCTTTGTATGTAATTTCTATGCACTTCTAAATCAGATGATTTTATGGAACAGGCTGACCTGGTCTGTAGTCCCTCTGAACACCCTCAAGACCATCTACCTGTTGTCAAGGGTCCAAAGAAGCCTGACTCACACCTACAGACCAATACATCCACAGGTCACAGCACAGGTCTGGGAGGAGGCATCAACCCAGGCTCCCATCGCTGCTGTGCTTCCCAGCCCTTTCTAACACAGGGGTCTCTGCAGCGTGTTCACTCCAACACCCCATGAGAGCTGCTACACAACAGGATCCCTGCTTCAGCTGCCAGAACAAGCAAAGCCAAGGGGAGGAGTGAGCAAGGGAATGGGGAAAGCAGGTTACCGAGAAGCAAGCAGAAGAGGAAAGGAATAGACCCTAAGGCTCAGATACCAACCTGTGACCATAGGTTGCTAAGCCCAGGAGGTTACAAGGAGACACCATGGGACTGCTACTAACCTACAGCTGTGTCTTCTCCTGGTGAAACACCGAGTCCCTGAAGGCTGCTCCAAATTGCATTTCAGAGCCAGAAACAGCCAGATGAGCACCCCGGGGGCTAGGTCTGCTGCTGCAAGGGGAATAAAAACAAGCAAAGCCCTTCATAAAGGCTGGTCCTCAGCTGTGAACTGTACTTGCTCTTGGTGGCAATATGACTGTGCTCTTTACAAGAAGCATAAACTTGTTTTCCGTGTTCTTAGATTGCTGGGAATGGAAAGCCAACCACCTACCTCATCACAAAAGCCAGCACCTAAAACATAACCAGACTCATATTTACAACCAACTGCACTCTAAGAACAATGCCATTAGAAGGAAATAACCCTTGTCATTTGTTTTATTTAGAATCAATCCCCACATACGAGGGCATGCCTTCCTGAGAGGTGTGTGGTTTGCAGTTGATAGGGCTGGCTGCAAAACCTCGTGACGCACGGGTGAGCTTTCCTTAACCACCTGCCTTTGCATTTTCTTAATTGGCTGCTTCATAATTCATCCAGTTAGAAGCTAAGCTGATGGATGTTCAACAGCATCAGCACAGGAGCTTATATACATTTTAGCTGCCACCAGCCCAATGTCAAATTATGTCGGAAGAGAGAAAGATAGGCTAGGACAACCTCTGAGTTAGGTTTATCGAGAGGGAGAGAAATAGGTCAGGAAGAAGAACCGGGGTGTGCAGCATGCGATTTCCTGGTCAGCGGTTACTGTAAGAGGAGGGCTGCTGTTACGCAAGGGTGCACAAAAAGACGCCTCCATGGGTTTGCACTCCACCACATGAAAACCTCGGTGGTCATAACAAAACAGCTGCTGCCACAAATGAGTACAAACACTTATAACTGAATGAGTCGGTTCCCTCGCCTGGTTACCCATGGCTTGTTGAACTGGCTTCCAGTGACCTGCAGGGCAGGGAATATACCCAGCTCAACAAACAAGCACTAAAGGAGTCATTTAGACCCAACGACTCGTCTGACCTACTCAAGGGAGGAAACTCATGATCTACCTGTGCCAGGTGTATCTAATTTAAAGTAGCTTCTGTGCAGCCGAAATGAAATACA